GGTCCTTTCCAACCCTAAGTATTCTATGACTTTAAAGTAAACAGGCTGATGAAATGTGAAGATGCTTCAGGTTTGTCTTACAGTAATCCGGGTGTAGTTTGGTGCTGGCAGTGGATGAATTGGGAGAGGAGGCAGAAGTATGGTTGAAGAGCAGGATTAGCAATTGCCAGCAAGTTATAGATGATCTTTTCAGTGCATGTCATTCAACAGGTGAGATGTAGTGAATTCTGCAGCTGTTTAAGGCATTACTGCCCCCAGTTTGTATTCTTTCCCTCAGAGAGGCTGGTAAGATGACGCGTGTTCACACCTCTGTTCATTTTGGTCTGGCATGTTAGCCTGAGCTGCCCCAAAATGTTGATCCTTAAATCTAGGCTATCAGAGAGGAGCAGAAATCCAGAAGGTATATGTTAGGTGCTTTTGCAGCTCTGTATGTCTGGAGTGTGGCTCACACCCCTTTGCTAAAGGGAGTTTTTTCTGTCTGATTCCATATAAACCACAATGTTTGATAACTTTTCTGTAAATCTAGGGGTTACAGGTAGCAGTGTTGGTTTCTGCAGAAACGCAGGTGATCAACAGGCAGTGCAGAATGTAAAGGTTCATTTGGCAAGGTCATAAGCCAGTTAGCAAAGTTTTCCATCTGCAGCTAAGAATAACAGACTGTGATGGTCCAGCACTTTGTAATAGCGGTTGGATGAAGCTGTAGAGGAGTTAGCTGTTAAAGTTAGTTTGTCTAGTATGTAGATGGCAGAACAGCTTTGTTTTCCTTTCAGGTTTTATTTGTCTTGCTCAGTAGGTTTTCCACAGAGTGTTTACCATGTTTAATTCATAGTCTGCTGAGTCAGCTCTGGTCTCACAGGCTCTGTGTATTTGAGTAGGAAACTTCCTATTTGAATTACTTGGAGGGCTTTGTTGTCTTCGCATATTTGGTCTTTGGAGAAGTAACATATCTTTTATGGGTTCTTCTGATCACGAGTCATGTAAGATTAAAACCTATTTAGCTTTCCAAAAAGAAATCACTGCATTGTTTATTACCATTGTAGTGAATCTTTTGAAAAGTTGATGTCTCCTATCTGATACACTTGCAAAAGAAAATGTGTTACATTTTTCCGGGAAATGGGAGGAGTGAGATTTTCAGAAGTCTAGGGTAAAGTTTACCGCTCGGATCCATTTTACGTCTTTGAAGATCAGTGCATAGCTTGTGTGCAGTGATGCTTTTCTTATTTGAACTGTTCTATTACTTTCTTTTTTAGAGCCCTCTTGATAGAGCCCAAGCAGCTAAGAACAAAGGAAACAAATATTTTAAAGCAGGAAAGTATGAGCAAGCTATTCAGTGTTATACGGAGGCTATCAGCCTGTGCCCTCCTGAGAAAAACCTTGATCTTTCTACCTTCTACCAGAATAGAGCTGCTGCATATGAACAATTGGTAAGAAATAAAGATAATTGTGTCTATTTAAAAAAAAAAATAATCAATATAAATTGTGTATTTTATCACTTTTGTCCACTGAAAGATCCCAGGTGGTGATATCTGCTGCCTTCACAAGATGCTCTTGCTTGCAGTTATTTTTCACTAGCTTATCGTGCTTTTTCGCATACAAATTAAATTTTTCTGTTAACTGTTCTCAGTGTATGTTATATAATTCTTATATGTCACTTTCTTGTAAGACAAGGTTTTAATTTCTTATCCTCTTGAACAAGTTAATTTTGCTTCTCTATACTGGAGTGTTTCTTTAACTGTTGGGTGAAAGGCCAAATATTTGGAAGGATGCTACTTCAGAAATTAAACAAATATCCCTGGAATCCTGCTAAAGCCTAGGACCTAAATTTTGCATGTGTGGAAGTAACATTTGCTTGATAGGTCAGTACACTTGATATTAGTTTTAGAAGTCAACCAGTGTTGTTAGACTTGCTTATGAGGTCAAGTTGGCGAGTTGTAAAGGAGTGGAGAAATTGGCTTTAAACAGTTTAAGGTATCAAGTGAGAAACCGTGTGATTAGAGAAATCTAGTCCTGAAAGTTACAGGAGAGACAAAACAGATCTTGTCTAATCAACTACTACTTACAACACTGATTCATGCCATAATGAATCCCAAGTGTATGTGGTTCCTCTTTTTTCAGATATTAGAAAAGCCTGTTTTAATAACCAATTTTGCAGATAAATGGACTTTTAATTCATAATATCCTTGAGCAGTTCTACTCCTACATATTCATTTTTCATACCTTTATAGTAACATAGTGGAGTAAATGGAAATAACAAGGGTGGTGTTTGGTTTTGTTTTTTTTTTTTTAAGAAAAGTGGTTTAGCACTTTGTTAAACTTGTTCGTTGGTTTTCGTTATGTTTAAATCTTTTTTTTTTTCTTCAAATGAACTCATTTTCTCCCCTATGCTTTTTACTACTGCCTAGTTTTGTTTTTCTGTAGGAATTCCTTTTGTTTTGTGGCTCTTTTGGTGCAGGTGGCTTGCAGTGGTGCCTGACATTTTCTTACTGAGAAACTTGTAGAAACAGAAGCCAGCAGGCAGAACCAGGGCCCTAGGGATTGATGCTACTATCAGGTGTCATGACCTGGGAGTTGGTAGTGGAAAGATAATGAAATGCAGCTAAGTGGTGCCTCTCTCACTTTTGTTTTTTTCCGCGCAGCAAAAATGGACAGAGGTGGCACAAGACTGCACAAAGGCTGTCGAGCTTAATCCTAAATATATAAAAGCTCTCTTCAGACGTGCAAAGGCTCATGAGAAGCTAGACAATAAGAAGGAATGTTTAGAAGGTGAGTGTCTCTTGATGTGTCTACTTAAAAGTGGAATTAGCTCAGGTGCTTTGGAGGTAACTTCTGGGGTCGTTTTCTTTTTACTTCTGTAACTACACAGCTACTGCAAATAGGTTTTATTTGCTTGTCAGAAGAAATCTTTTCCCATTTTTCAAGCTCTCGTGTGCTGACATCTGAAATAGCTGCTGAGAAATTGATGTTACTGTAACCACTCAAGGTCTTATTTTTTGAGGATACTCCTACACTTTAGAATTCATCTAACATGCTTAGTGGATAATGCAGACAACAGTTGTTTACTTTCATACAGTAATCAAACTTTGTTCCCTGTTTGTTTTAGAGAAACAGTATTACTACAGAAAACAAGGTGGTTTTGCAGATGGTGATACATCATCAGAAACAAAAGTATTACAGTCACTTAAATGCACTGGCAGGTATTAAAGGGAAAACAGTTTAATTAGCATTTTGTTTTGATATATAACTGTGATGAAAATTGGAATAGATTTAACCTTTTTTCTTTTTTTTTCTTTCTTTTTTTTTTTTTTAATAAATATTAACACTATGTATTTGGCAGAAACTACTGTGTCAAATCCTTCCAAATACTATTCCTAACAGCATACATTTTAAACTGTCAGGAAGATGTGACTGAGAAGCCATGAAAATTAAGGAGAACTACAGGTCAGGTGTGTTGTCTGAGGGCCCGTTTAATCTAAGGGACACTGCTTGAAAGGACACATTTAAATTTCATCAAGTAAAATCATTCCTGTTTGTAATGTTAAAAGGCAAATGAAATTTTCATCTGTGCTCACTCTGAAAGGACAGAAAATAAGGCAGTGCTCTGTCAGATCTATTAAGTTAGTTTAATTATGTGCAACAGCTAAGAATTAGGTCTGCTAAATTAGACAGTAAATAAGACGTGGACATCTTATTTATCTATTTATTTATCTGCTGGCAGAATGCCTTTCTGCCCTGTAAGACCATAGTGAGTGAAAAAGGACTACTTAGGTCGTTTAGTGTAGTCCTTTGCAATCACTGACTGCACTTCTGGAGCAGTGTAATACAATCTAAACCTTACGTAGTTGCAATAAACTGACAGATGATGAAAGCCCCAAGAAAGATCAACTGCCCCTGCCATACTAGGATAGCTTTTAAAGGTATTTCTTTTGTAATGCTAGTAGCAGTAATGTTTGTAGCAATTATTTTCAACCTTGATTTGTGTTTGATTTTTAGCTTGCATTTCTTTCAGATCTGAAAATTACTTGCTTTTTCTTTTTTAGCCAGTAAAATCCAAGGAAGTAGGGTATGTCCATGTAGTGGAGAAAAGCAAAACCTAAAAAAACCCAAAAAATCATCACCACCACCAGCAGAAACCTCCTCCAATGATCTCTGGCAGTATAATTTGGGAAGATAATGCTGCTTCACCCAAGTCTGGGCATTAGTTTACAGCTGTCCTCTTCGGGCAGCACATGTCTGCCGAGGTCATATAGCACAGTATTACTGCACACTATCATTCATGCTCTTTCTGGATGCAGTGTGTTTTCCTGGGGACTCCAATCTGCTTCTTGTCCATGCCAGAGTTGCAGGGAGTTTCTGCGTAAATGATGGCATAATAGTACGGCAGCATAGAATTGCAGAAACTATAGTAAAACTCCAGATTAAGACACTTGAAAAACAAGTGTATTCAAACAATACGCTTTTTGAATTTCAAGTCCAAACTCTGTTCATCTTCACTGATGTTTATGTGAAAATTAAATAGGAAAATCAGTGATAGTATTGCATTAACTAGGGGATCCAGAGAAATAATGTTAATATACCATCAGAACACATTTCATACTGCAAAGCATGATTCAGGTAGCAATGGCTTAACATTTGCAGCGGCTTCTGCGTGTGACTGAAAGTGATGTGATATGGGCTAGCACTTTAAATCAGCCAGCAAGGTATCTCACTTAAACTTGGTCAATTCCAAAGACATGGAAGTGAGAGGAAAAAAATGAGATATAATATGGTAAGATTTCTTGAACTGAGAAAGAAGCAAAATGTAATGGGACTGAATATGAATTTTAAAAGTAGACAGTTAGGACCAGTCCCAGAAGAGAAGCTATGTTAGCACTTTTAACGTGAGCGTAAGATGAACGTGGTTACTGTCCTCAGAGTTTCAAAATGGTGAGAGACCCAGCTGGAGGTGCATATTTTCACTGTTCATCTAAGTATGTTTGTCTCTAGATAAAAACATTAAGATAAAAATAAATGCAGTTTCTTTCATTCGCTGTCATGAAGTCTTTTTATCACAAGGAGATCATTTTGGATACAAATTTCTATCTTGGAAAACATGGTAAATACAGTAAATTGGAAACAGAGGCTTTTACCCTGGAACAGGACATGGATTAGTTTGGCAGACTCATTTTAACAGTGGCACATTTTAATGTACTCCAGTGACTATCAGAATTTATCTTTAATCTTGCTTTTGAATGTTGTTTCCTAGATGTCACTGCAGTCTGCATTTTAGAAGCCTTCCAAAACCAGCAAAGTATGTTACTAGCTGATAAAGTTCTAAAACTCCTTGGAAAAGAAAAGGCCAAAGAGAAATACAAGGTAGGACTTGTGATATTGTTGACAAATTCTGATTTCACCTGACTGGTTGTTGAAATGCTGGTTGTTGGCATTCAGTCAGTGCTAAGTAAGTCACTGTCTTCATCTGTTGAAGAGTAAGAATCAACACAGTTTTGTACAAGGCTGCTATTGTATCAGTGTTGCTTTCTTTTGGGACCTGTCCAAAGTTTTTTAAACCTTAGTAGAGATGTCTATTTCTAAATAACTGTTTTCCTTTAATAATCAAATTTATTATGACATTCAGGAGACATCCTAAGTTGGTGTGCTGCCCTACGTGGGCCTTTTCCAGACTTGCAACGTGATGGAAATGGGGTATGTTGGAACAGCAGTAGTCAAATGTTCAGTTGCACATCAGGTGTGGTAGAGTTAGGCATGTGTGTTGAGATAGGACGTTTATACATAATAATAGAAAATGCATAAAAATGTTGGTTCCATATGTAAGGAATAACTGAAAATGGAAAGAATTATGATTGAGGACTTTTTCCCCCAGGTTATTTTTGGTTTTATAATTAGAAATTTTATGTAGGAAAGATTAAGTTGACAGCAGAATTCCTACCTTTTAGAAAGTGGTAAAATAACTTTTAAGGTGGGGTGGTGGCTTTTCTAAAAGAGTAAGAAAAGCATTGCTTAAGAAAAAATGATGTAGTGTGAAGTCGCATCTGTTTAGTAGTAGTCAGACTTTCTGATTCTGTCTTGAGAAATACGCCTTCATTTCCTAACTACCACAGATTACTTGTGACATTCAGTCTGTCCAAGTCTCTTGCTGTTTCTGTTGCATTTCTGTGAATAGGTCCTCATACCTGTGCTTTTCTGTTTTGGCACTCAGATGTGTTTGTGTTAATGGTTGGAAACTGCAGAAAAGAGAACTATGGAAATACAGGGGTAACCAGGAGCAGTCATTTTAAGTGGCTGTAGGTTTACAAAAAAGTTGGAACAGGTTTTAAACATTCTCGCTTGTTATTAAAACATTCTTGCTTGGTTTTTTGTGATGGTGTTTGAAATACTGAAATCCATGTTGGTTTTGAGATGCTGAATTTCTTTCCTATAGAAACTCACATAAATGTGTGCTGTCGGGATAACAAAATGAATTGTGTTATTAGTGTGTTGTGGTAGTAGCATCACAAAATAGGCATGCTTCAGATAGGCAGGATTATGATAGACCTTAATAGGGAAGACTGCATTCAGACTTCTCTTGTAGGAGAGACTGAATTGTAATTCTCATGTGCAGTGTTCGTTTTGAGCAAGAAATGTTTATTGGCTGTAGAAAGGATTTTGTACCCAAGAGGTGTTACTTCTGGGACTTCAAGTAAAATGGGTGGTATCTGGGCCAAGCTCCACATAAAATTAGCATATTGCCTCATTAGTCTTCATAGCAATGATAGACAGCAGCTTCTCTTGGGCAAGTTGTAGAAAAAGGGCAAATTCCATTCACAATCTACTTGAATTTAGGCTCATGCTTAAATCACCAGCTCACATTTTTCACCCAATTTATGTGCACATATACTGCTTTAGCACATCTACTCAATGTCTTGTGATACCCTAAGAGTCTTAATTTCTGACCACACATGCAGAAATATACTATCTCCCTCCTCTTGAATATCTTTACTTCATTTCTAGTGGTGATGGGTGTTGTGTTGGATCTGAAGCTTAAGTAATCCCTAAATGTCAAACTGTCAAATCAAAAATATCAGACTATCAAATGAGATAGTCAAAAGTCAAACACTGGTTCTTTCATGAACGATATTTTTATAATCATATTTGTTTATCCATTGCCATATATTTACCATCTAATGACTTGAAATTACATTTCTCTGTTTCAGAATCGTGAGCCTCTGATGCCCTCACCACAGTTCATTAAATCCTACTTCAGTTCTTTCACAGATGATATAATCTCCCAACCTTTGCTTAAGGGTGAGAAATCAGATGAAGATAAGGATAAGGAGGGAGAGGCTTCTGAAGTAAAAGAAAAGTGAGTGTACAGTACAGTTGGGAGTTTTTGGCATTGGAATTAAGTTTGCAGTGATTTTTACATTCTGCTCAGTGTAACTTGCTGTTGTTTTTATAGTACTTGGCATGGGAAATCCTGTGGTAGTAAAGTGAGCCTATGAAATGAGATCAGTATTAAAAATGAAACTTTAATGAAAGCTGACTGGTTAGTTCCAAAGTTCTGCTAAACAGAGGAAGGACAATGGGACTGGGGAGATATACTAAATACTTACTACAGTATCATAGTAAATCTTAGGAGATGGGAGGACTAAAGAGAGCTGAATACTCTTTCTGGAGAAAGGAGTGCTTTATATTGAAGGAGAGTTTCCAAGGAAGAGAGCAAGTTAAGTGTTTGGATTGGAAGGGAGAAGACAAGCTAGGAAAAAGGTCTTTGTTAATTAAAACTGTGAACTTACAGCAGCTTGGGCTAAAACGGCATTTTAACTTTCTGGAATCAAAATGCACATAAATGAGAGGTTTGTTCTGACAAAGAAAAGCTTGAGCTTTTTGCTTTTTTGAGTGGAGCTTGAGGACTTGTGAGTGGTGCTTTAACTTACTATGCTGTTTTGCAGTTTAGTTTGGGAAGATATCACTGCTGTCAGTATGGAAACCCTTACAAACAGTGTTAGGATGTTTTTTTAAAGTAAGATAGAATGTCTCTATCTACAGGCAGATCCACTGAATCTAGAACAGTTAGCTGAGGACAAGGCAGTGCTTACCATAAATTTTGCAGTTAAATCCTTCCTTCCACATATAAACAGCACGTTGCCAGGTTTAATATTTCACTTTTCTGACCTGGAATTCCATCCCAGCCCTCTCGTTTTAAGGCAGAGATTATCGCTGTCCTTTATGTGAAACAAAATTGCAGGGGACAAAAGAAGCTCAAGTTCAAGAGCTTTAAAACATTTTTTATTCATTATTTCAAATGTAATTTGGCCATTCTTTGTCTGAATTGTTTTCAGTCTGTGATGGCTTGTCCAAGAATGTTTGTAACTTTATTATGCTGGTGGTGTAACTGAGTATAGCAAAAGGTAGTATTTGTTATGATCAAATGAAAAATCTGAATTGAAATAGCAGTGTTTGGTGAATGTATGTATATATACAACTGTTCTTACATGATTTACAGCTCTGGCTATTTGAGAGCAAAACAATATATGGAAGAAGAGAACTATGACAAAATTATCAGTGAAAGCACAAAAGAAATTGAAGCAAAAGGAAAATACATGGCAGAAGCTTTGCTTCTGCGAGCTACTTTCTACTTACTTATTGGCAATGCAAATGCTGCCAAACCAGACCTAGATCAGGTCATCAGCATGGAAGATGCAAATGTGAAGGTAAGAATCTGTCACATCTGGATTATAGTTTGGGTTGAGAAAATGTAGAAGTTAGGTGATAAACTTGCATTATAGTTCAAGAAGTTGTTTTCCCAAGTTTTCAAATACTTTAATGGGAGTGTTCTGGTTTATTTACTGTTTTGTCATCTTATTTTTTTCAAAAGACCTGTTGATTTTTCTGAGACAGCTGTGCTAAGTAGTACAAACAAAAGAACAGAGGAGGTTGAGTGAACCAGAGGCTTACCCAGCCTGAAATATCAGTTCATAGATAAGAGAAAAATGTTAATTATACTTGCATATTGAACTGCTTCACAAAATGTTGATGTAGTTCTAAGCATAGGGAACCTGTCTTATGAGAGGATTTCTGGGGGGTTGAAAGTCCACTGAGATGGAAGCATAGACTGACATATTTGAAATTAAGCAAAGGGAGTTGATTCATTTAGAGTCAATATGAAATTTATTCCTGTTTAGAATGAGCGAAGTCTGTCAGTGGGAAAAACAAGTCAAATGAAAAATTTACTGTAATTGTAACGGAGCCTTAAATCTGGGGGAATGCTGGAGTGGCTAATGCTTCTTTGAACTTGTTTTACAGCTCCGAGCTAATGCTCTCATCAAACGAGGAAGTATGTATATGCAGCAGCAGCAGCCTGTGTTGTCCACTCAAGACTTCAACATGGCTGCTGATATTGATCCTCAGAATGCAGATGTTTACCACCATCGAGGACAAGTAAGGCACATTAGAGATCTTGTCCCAGTACTTGAATATTTCAGTATATACTAAAAGAAAAAATGAAGATCAGTATATCATTGGAGACACTTTATACTGTTTGTGGCAGAAAACCATGAACTCCTAATTTGAGACTGTTGCAGAATAAACACATAATCTCATTTGCTGGTTCAGGTCAGGCAGAAACAGTTTACTCCTATAGCTGTAGCAAAGATGCAGAGCAACAGAGCCCTGTATCAATACAAACTGACTTAAAAGTTCTAGGCCTTATATATATTTACAGCAGATAAAAACTGCCCAGTGAAGGGGCATGATAAGTCAGAGCAGCATCTGCATAGAAAGCAGCTTTGTTACAGCAGATGTAATGTGTGTCCCTGATAACTCAGTGTCTCTAGCACTGTGGCCTAAACTTGCATCTGTTCAGCTTGTCCCTCTCTGGCTTGTGATGCTACTGCGTCCTTGACTAACTTCTGGATGCAGAGAGGCCTGCTTCTGCAGAAGTGTAATATAAAAGGTGCTGGAAAAAAAAAGGAAACACTACCATATACAGATGTGCTAAGTAACATTCATAAGGAAGACTTCCGTGGATTGAGTGCCTCTCTCCATGAGTTTGTTAGATCTCTCTAGTGCTCACAAATAAGAATGGTGTTATGTGGTAATTGATGGGAATGAAAGTTTTCTGCAGATTGCAAATTGGTGTTTTACAGTAGCTTAACAGTAAAGTGAAAGAATGATGAAGTGAGCTCCTCCCTTGCGGAGGAATGAGAATGTCAAAAAAAAAAAAAAGTTTAAATGCAAGCTGGGAAAGCAGAAATGTTGTGACATACAAATAGTCCACAGACATTAGCTACAGCAAGGCAAAGCGACTTGGGAAAATACAGCATGGTTTTGGAGACTGGACATAATGCTAAAGCAGTATTGGCAACAGCCTAAAATGCCAGCATTCTCAATCCTACACATGCACATTGCCTTTTTGTGTATGAAGCCGGTTTCACTGGTGGCTGTGTTACTTTATGGCAGTGGTTTTTAGTCATGGGTTTTGTAGATTTCTTGGCAGTTCTGCAGCTGAAACAGAGATGAAAAGAGTAACTGATGCTAACTGAATTATCCCTTAAGTGTATGAAGCACAGATTAAATGCAGAAATAGGATTTTCTTTCATTCTGGCTAGCTGAAAATCCTGCTTGACCAAATTGAAGAGGCTGTGGAAGACTTTGATGAATGTATCCGATTGCGACCCGATTCTGCCTTGGCTCAAGCACAGAAGTGTTTTGCTCTGGTAGGTAACATGCTGGTTATCTGGGTGCTTTTTCTTTTCTGTAAAACATACTGTGTTTCTCTGCTTTATTCCAACTTAGTGGAAAAATAGGGCAACAAACATCTGAATATATTTTTAATAAAGAAAATATGCAACAGTTTCTTCAGTTGGAGTCAGGGTTTGCTGCTTTCATTTTGAACTGTTCATTATTCAAACAGTAGATCATTTTTTCTGTTTTGTGGTAGAGGAACACAGATCTTCATTCTAATTGTATCACGTGAAATCTAAATAAAGTGTTAATGTTGTGGAAAATGGTCATCTTCAAGAAATTAAAAAAACCCAAACCCTATTTCAAGCTAGTACAGTACCTCTGTGTGCAGGAATCTTCTGAGGACAGCTTTGCATGGTGTGAACAAGGAGGAATTCTGGGCTTGGAATTTCTAGACTTTTGAAATAGAGGGAGGCTATTGGCAACTATCAGGCCTAATGGCTTCCTTCTTTCACCCTTTCTTCCCTCCAAGTCCACTCTACAGAGACTTGGACACATGGTAGGTTCCTGAAAACAGATTTGGTAGATGTACAGGCATGTCACTTTCAGGAACTTGTAATTGTTATGATGTGTGCATCTTGTGGGGAAGTGGGTAGAGGTCTGATGAGCCTGGTTTTGTGGTGGTGTTTCATTTTTCCTTCTTTTTTGTTTTCTTCTGAATAGTATCGCCAGGCTTATACAGGAAGTAATGCTTTGCCTGTGCAGGTAGCCATGAAGGGCTTCGAAGATGTCATTAAAAAATTTCCAAAGTGTGCTGAAGGTTACGCACTCTATGCTCAGGTACATTTTTCTCTGTCTTAAAGAAAATGCTGCACTCTCTTGCACCTTTTATTTTGGATAGCATGCATTTCTTCAAATAATATATGAAGATTTTTGCGAGTAAGTTCTGGGGTAATACATGCTGCTTTAATAAGCTACCTGAATTTATGGGTGTGGGTGTTTGGGGGTAGAGGAAGTAGAGGGGGAATCAGTGGAGCAGAATATAAGTGATGAGAGTCAAGGGTGGTTATTAGGAGACAGAGGCCTGGCATACACTTCCCCGTGAATTCCTGCATGTGTGTGGCATCTTGCTTGGTGGATGTCAGGGATTCTCTAGGTAATTCGGGAATTAAATGTGTGGTGCTAGGGTAACAGTTTCACTCTGTTACGAGTGACATGTACTGGTCAAACTGAGTTCAGTACATATGTTCAGAGTCCACTTGTACTGGAGACTGTCATTTCTTCTCTGAGAAAACGTACTGCTGGTTCTAGTACGGAGCACGAGATCTTCCAAGTTTAAATAAGTAGGCAGTGGATGCATTTCCTTTTGAAAGAAGTATGTTTGAAGAAGGAAGAAGTTGAGAACTGCAGGTACATACTTTTAGAATTGTTTTTACTTGTAGTACACTTAGCATGTTGCTTGTGTACTATTCCAGGTGGTACTGTGATCAGCAATTTGTGCACTTAAAGCTAGGCACTGAATTTTGAAACTTAACTCTGGTAACTGATGTGCCTGGCCTGCTTAGTGATAGAGAGCTATCTCTAATCTCACATTGTCAATATGGTTTTAATTAGAATTAGCCTAGCATAGAGTGCATGTTTGGGCTGCTTATTGACATACAGGTTTCTCTTCTGATGCAGGCACTAACTGATCAACAGCAGTTTGGCAAAGCTGATGAAATGTATGATAAATGCATTGACCTTGAGCCAGACAATGCCACTACATATGTTCATAAAGGGTATGTAATGAGTTTGCAATCCTTTTGGTCAAGGGCAGTTGGCATGTTTAGATAAATCAACCTGAATTGAATGTTTTGTTGTGAAAACAACTTAGTGTTTTTAAATGTATTTCTACAGTTTCTCTTGACTAAACTGGAAATATGTTTTGGGAAAGTTTCACTCCTAATTACATATCTGCTTGAAGTATGTATCGCTTCTGCTTTAGCCCTATCTTAATTTTAGTTTGTACTGAAGTTTTCTCTTTCATAAATTAACTTGCAACCAGTCTTCTCAAGAGGAATTTGCCTTTCTTTAGAGTCATTGAACTGGTAACATCGCCTGTTGAAACTGCTGACTTTCACATCCATGTGTTTAAAAGCCACGAAGTTACTGTTACCCTGCATTAGGATGTAAATGTAGTCGGGCTTTTGTTTGTTTTTTGTTTTTTGGTTTTGTTTTTTTTTTTGCTTATATGATGAGGGTTTTGGGAAGCATATGTGAAGTTTGTTCTGAATTTCCTTTCTCTTCTAGTTTACTTCAACTCCAGTGGAAGCAAGATTTAGACAAAGGGTTAGAACTCATAAGCAAGGCAATTGAAATCGATAACAAATGTGATTTTGCATATGAGACCATGGGAACTATTGAAGTGCAAAGGTAATGTTGAATTGGAATGTTAAGAGTTCTTAGTTATTTTTGAACTTAGAGTAGTCCTTTAGCTATCCTTTGGATTTTAAGTTAAACAGGTGTCGTGGTTCAAGCCCAGCCGGCAACTTGGAACCACGCAGCCGCTCGCTCACTTCCCCCCCCCACTTCCTTCCTCCTCCTGCTCCCGGAGGGATGGGGAGGAGAATCGGAGGAATGTAACTCCCACGGGTTGAGATAACAGCTCTCCAGTAACTAAGGTATAATACAAACTACTACTGCTACCAATAATAGTGATAAGGGAAATAACAAGGGCAGAGGACACAACCGCTCACCACCCGCCGACCGATACCCAGCCCGACCCAAGCAGCGATCTGGGCCTTCCGGGTAACTCCCCCCAGTTTCTATACCGGGCATGACGTGCTGTGGTATGGAATACCCCTTTGGCCAGTTTGGGTCAGGTGTTCTGCCTCTGCTTCCTCCCGGCTTCTCCTCCTGCCTGGCAGAGCTTGAGACTGAGAAAGTCCTTGGTCAGAGTAAACATTACTTAGCAACAACTAAAAACATCAGTGTCATCAATCAGCGTTGTTCCCAGGCTGAAAGTCAAAACCACAGCACTGCACCAGCTACTAAGAAGGAGAAAAAAATGACTGCTGTAGCTGAACCCAGGACAACAGGCTCCCTGGGGAAGCAGTCACAGTACCAAGCTTGTCAGAGTTCAAGGAGCATCTGGACAACGCTTTTAGTCATACAGTTTAGTTTTAGGTTGTCCTTCGGAGCAGGAATTTGCACTCAATGATCCTCATGGATCTCTTTCAACTTGAGATCTTCTGTATTCTATCTTCTCCCCAGTGCTGTGCAAGGCCAGCTCTTACCCGAAGTCCTGATTTTTGTCTGTAACTCTTGGGTAAAGCCTTCATTTCTCCACAGCATAATTATGCTTATGATCTGACAAGTTTCCATGTTCACCGGTTTCATGCAGATGACTCTGTGTATATTTAAATACATTCTTCCTGCATTTAAAGTGACTTCCTTAATCATTACTAGGCTTCCTGTGTGCCTCATGTAGTGTTTAAACACAATCTTAGTGGACCATTTGTACCGAGGATTCTGAGCTATAGTCTCAAGCCTGACAATTTGGGTTTAATTCCAACAGGACTGCAGTTCACAAGTTCACAGAGTAAGGAGGAAAGACTAATGCACTATTCTGTAACAGAGTATTACAGTTAGGCAAAAGTCTGGGGTGTAGCTGAGAGTATAGTTGAGTTTGGGGTTCTTACATGTCTAGCCATGAAAAGGACAGACAATTAAAGTGTTTGCATGAGACATTTTGCAAGCATTTCCTAATCAAATAACGTGAGCTCTTGTCTACGTGCTAGTTCTCCTCTAAAGCATACAAACTCTTTTTTCAAGGGGGATGAGAGTTCATTTAGTTGTCCTATCAGTATTTTTGTTGTAAAATTTGGTGTCCGGTGGAGAACATTTTATCCCATAGTACTACCCACGGGGGCTCTCAAGAGGAAAGCCATTTAATAGCTGTCTTAGCTGCTTAGGCTTGGTAACAACTTCTCTCAGTTTGCTTATCATAATCACAAGTTCTTGTGGTCATCCCCCCCAAAGTCCTTTTAAAGTGTTAGTAGAGAGTGTAAGTCAAAGGAAAAAAAGATGCTGTAGAGATGGAAAGCTTGTTTTTGCCAGTATTAATTGTACTACATTTTGGTTTATTTCAGGGGTAATCTGGATAAAGCCATTGAAATGTTCAACAAAGCTATCAACCTGGCCAAATCTGAAATGGAGATGGCCCACCTCTACTCACTCTGTGATGCTGCCTATGCCCAGACAGAAGTTGCAAAGAAGTATGGATTGAAACCACCAACACTGTAAAGAAACAAGGAGGAAATGACCTTCTAAAGTGAAGTTGCCCACTTTGGCCAGCCCTAAAGACGCTGTTGCAGACCATGTTGAATGGTGGAACTTAGTTTTTTCCCGTTCGTGGTGTTGTCATTTGCTACATCTGTTAAATGTTTAGGTGTTGTGGGATTGGTTGTTCAAGGAAGTATGCAGTGTTGCATCTTGTTCCTTCTGCAGCAAAAACCTTAAAAACAACAAAAACTTGTTAAGGGAAATGAAGTTGCAAGGGAACAAAAGGAAGATACTTTGGCCATGCAAATAAAAACTTCACACTGGTTCATTTTGGGTGATTATGTTGTGGGCGATTTTTGCTTTATCAAACAATATTACAGCATGTTGGAGGTTTTCCTGTTGATTTTAAAGGTAATACTAGTCAGTGCTGTAAAATAGGTTTCTTTTTTATATGCAATTAATCTTTGAGGGTTGATTTTAATTTTGCAAAAAGAAAAAAAAATTTCAAACTGTTTAATAATAGAGAGGGTTTTTTTAAGTCAGTAGATGTGGAGAGAATCCCTGTAAATATATGCAAGCATGCACAATCTTCCCTTAAAGCCCCTCCCACCCTCTGCACACCTTACTTAGAAATAGTCCTGTGGTAGCTATTAGGGAATTAATTTGATAGTCCTTATCCTCACACCAGAAAGCCCTAACATATTGTATTGGAGAGCTAGTAAATAGGTTGGCTGGGGAAAGGGGTTAAGTAACACTGCTCCAGTGCAGGTTTTACTGGAAGAAAGGCCGTGTTCCTGTGCAGCAGTCCTTACTTGAATGTCACAGGAACTTGTGCTGCAGGGTTCAGAGGGACTTTCAAGAACAGAAAGCACTGCTGGGCGTACTGCTCCCAAGGTAAGGTCTTGCTTGCATATAATCTTTGTCATTTCTGATGCTTCTGCTTAACTGTAACAGCTAATACACTGTCTAAATTCTCTTCAGTCTCTAGAGACTGCCGTATTCTGATCTGCTCCTTGTAACAGATCCTTTGTGGGATTAAGTGAGATAAGGAACAAAGCACAGGCTAAAACTTCAATTAATGGATCTAGAATCGGTACTGGTTTTCTCGTTCCTTAGATTCTGTCTTGTCGAAGATGACAAATACTGTAGAGAAGAAGCAACTGTTATGCAAGTGGCAGATCAGGAAATTATTAAATACTGGTATAAACCATTTCCCTGTAGCAGGACACAGAGGGCTCTCCTGCTTTCAGTTGATCTTTGGATCTGTGGAAGCCAGTCAGTCCATCTAACCTCTCCCTGGATTGATATAGTTGGATCAACCTCATGCCAATATTTAACGGATGTAGCTTAATTTATGATACGCTAATTTGGGCTTCTTTCCATCCTGAAATCATAGGTTTGCTTGTGCTGAATTGTCTACTGTATTTCATCTTTTAAAGAAATGAACCATGCTGTGGTCAAACTGTTGTTCTTTAGTTGTGCCACCACATAGCAGCAGCTTGTATTTTCAACTTTACCTTGCTTTCTCCCAGCAATTACAGTGAGAATTCAAGTGGTGAAGAGTAGACATAAAGATTTAATCATTGTATTTTAACTAGCTCAGTAGATGATCTGAAATCATAGTGCTGGTGTAAAATTGAAGACATTGGAAGGTACTGGCAGTTTCTAAGGATGCTGCATGTAAAGAGTGTCAGCTGTCTTCTGGAACGTCAAATCTCTGCATCGATGACCTGAGAACAAAAATATGCCAGACCGACTCATGTGTCCTCTTCTCCTGAGGAGTTTTTATTCGCATGGCCTTACTTACATTGGCATTTTTCCTCCTTACCCCACCCAATCAATTAAGGGAAAAAAGCATGTGCTGTTGAATACTAGCATTCCAAATCATCACAGACTTTTGCCTGTTCTTGAACTAGTTTGAAACTGCACTGAAAGGATGCATTGTCTGTAATTTTTTTTTTTTTGTAAATGACGTATCACCTGTAAACTGAAAAAATAAATATTGCCTTCAAGTATCTCTCTCTGACATGTATAAGAACAGGTTTTGATGAAAGTGCTCTGCAGCGGTGCTCTCTGCTTATTTGAGGTTGCTCTGAATCTGGGAAGAATAATGATGACTGACTCCCTGTCATCTTCTCCCACTTCAACCTTCAAGAAAAAAGGAGGAGGAGAAATGGAATTAACAAGTCTTTTCTCTCTGATTGCTTCCATCACCCACAGAGGTATGATCTTGAGAGCTGAATATTACAGGGAAAAAGGAAATCCAGTCAGGAAAGCTGGGAGTCTGGTGGCAGACACCCCATTAATCTTTGTATGGCAGTGGATCTCTTTAGTGAATGGCTGATGCAGTTGAGGGTTTACTTGAAGCCAGGTGTGCATGGGAACTCTGAGCAAAGCTTCCTTTAGTAGGGATTGAGAGCTGAAGTGAAACAAGTATTGCTGCTGTTTAAAGAAAATCTATTGAAATAATGTAGGAAGCTAGTAGCGAAGGCTTGGATAAACCTGGTATAGTGCAGGCACTCTGGGAAGTTGCTTCTACACATAGCTGTCTTGTGTTTTAATTCTGATCATGTAAAATCCCTGTTGTTCATCTTAGAGACAAGTTTGCCAAAGTGGAGATTACAAGTTGTGACTTGAATTACTAGGATCTAATTGCAGATTGAAAGTGAAGAGGGAACTAAGTATACTATGGAGCTGTACTGTAACTTATTCTGGAACTATTAAGAGCAGGTTAGGTGGTGCTTTAACCAGGCTTTCCAGCTGCAATGGTAATAACACTGCCTGATACAAGAGGCGTTACTGTGCTTTCTGCCATTTTTTTTTAAGAGACTTTAAATTCTTGCAGGCTGAAATTCTGGAGCTATTTCAGGTTTGTTACTGGTTGTTTTTCTATACTTAAGATAATACTCCTGTGTATGTATAATACAGATAGTATATATAGTACAGATAGAAGTGTCTGTTTTCTACCAACACAGAGATTGAGTAGGGACTGCTTGAAGTATTACCTAGCTGATAATGGATAGTGTAGTTTTTTTCATTGAACCCCCCCAAAATTCACAATCCCATTTGTATCACATTGGAGATCCTTTAAAACATCCTGTTAAAGTAAGGTGCTTAGAAGCTGTTTTGACAGGCTGAAGAGGATTGAGCTCGTGTCATCTCTTCAGATGAGTTTCCCAAAGTAGCTCACTGCAGATCCTCACGTGCTCTCCCCATTTGGGATTCCAGGGGAGGAGGGCCCAGACCATGGACTCTGTTGCTTGTGCATACTGCAGTTAGCATTTTTTAAAATTCAGTGGTCAGCCCATGAGAATCCTGCACTACTGTAATCCTCCAAAGGTAGTACTTAACTCCTGCTATGCTGCATGTTAAACTAGTATAGAGAGGGGAGGGGAAAGGGATGGAGTAGTTCAGACACATGGATGTGTAATAGTTGCTATGATTCATAAGTTGGAGCCCAGTGATGGCTATCATGGATGCCAGTGGTTGAGAATGTGGGAGGCACTAATCTAATGCAGCAAACTTGACTCAAATGGTAAATTGTTACTTTTTTTATATTTATTTTTCAACAAATAAATCTTCATTTCACTTTATGCTCTGTGGCTTGTTTCTTAAGAGTTCCAGTACAGTATGTACACCAAAATGCAGTGAAAAGTACAGACCAAACAATGCCTGCTGGAATGGATAACGCCACACTGTGGAATGATGTGACCTGTCTTTCGAAGGGAAAGATGCCTCAGGGTTTGGCTTAATTTAACCATTATTTTTCCTTTATAAAACACAGACTTAGCTCATTCCAGAGAAGCTGAAAGAAATTAAAAAACAGGTCAGGAGAGCAGCTGTGGGAAAAGGAGGATGGCTAAACATAAGAAGGTAAGGTGGTTTTGGGGGAAACTGGCAGTTAGCTACAGCGAAACAGAACCTTCCCTCTCTCTCCCCCATTCTGTATTCTGAAATCTTTAGCCTTACTGCTTTACCATTTCTGGTGCTGGAAAACTAAAAGCCTAGTGGTAAGGGCTGATTTTAAGCATTTTAAAGCCACCTTTAGTAATCAGTTTGTTAGTCTCTTCCGCGAGAGCAATAATGTGAGGAATGTTTCCCATGCAGCTCATGGTAGTTGGCCTTTGGTAGCAATAATGCATTTAAACACTGAGCAGTTAAAGTACCTGTCTTCTTGAAGACAGTGGGCAGGAAGAAAGACTTCATCAGTGCAGTACATTTTCTAACCCTTTTGACTCACTCCTTCCACCCTTTTCAGGTGAAGATTGCCAGGCAGCAGAATTAAAACCTAGTCAGACATTCTACTAAAGACACAGTATACAGAGCAAAGGTGTGGTGACATGTGAATTGCTTTAACAAAACAGTAACCTGCACCACTTCAGCAACAAACAGGAATTGCAGTAAGGAGAATTTAATACATACATTTGAGGTAAGACGCAAGCCCAACCCTGTTACAGATTCTTCTATAGTAGTACTTCAGTCTGGCAGCTTCTTGCATTGTCATCCCTAAATTGTGCGGGGCAGGATTTGGCCTGTTTTGCTTAGTGTGTGAAATTTTAAGCTTTCCAAGTATAGATGTAGACATTCAGGGAACTTTAAGGCACATACAGCTAAGAAGGGCAGAGGTGGAAGAATCGTGCTTCTAGATTATTTGATAATTCACTGAAAAATTTTTAATACCAAAGCTGACTCCAGAGGATTTATTCTGAGAACAAGATTCCCATTTCTATGTTCCACAAAAAAAGCCCCCAAAAGCTAACTAAAACACTGTGATGCATAAAAAGCAATGTTAGTTGCTACTGTGTTGAACTGATTTTACCTCCATCTTTATCCTAGCTATAAACTACCATGAAAGACTAAAGTATGAGAGGAGATAGAAATGTTGTATTTAGATAAATTTTAGAATTACACCAGCAAATTTTTTGTTTCTGTGGGGTTTTGGGGTTGGTTGGTTGGGGTTTTTTAGGTTGTTCTTGGTGGTGTGGGGCTTTTTTTGGTTGGTTTTGTTTTGTTTTTGTTGTTGTTTTTTCAATTTCTAAATAACTGGCACATTTGGCAGTAGATTGTGGAACAGGTAATAAGGAAAGCCTTCTGAAGATGAAAGCAGCAGCCATTTTGCCAACTTCACCCTCCCATTCACCCAGCTTCACTTTTTCATCTCTATGCCATAGAGATCACGACGCTTCTGGCTTAAAATAGGAATTTGTTGGCGTATTTCTGCAAGTTTCTTCAGATCTGCAGGGGAGGGGAAAAAGAGCTATTAGAACAACAGTCAGAAAGGACAGCTCCTGACTTGCTCTGGGGTAAGGCAGGGAAAAGAACA